CATGAGGATAGAAAGTCTATATGTGTTACAGGGTACTACTATCACAGGTTTAGTTGCAATTTCTACATCATTTTTATTGAGTCTGATGCCACCAAGTTATGGCACATGAGGCTTGGATATATGAGTGAAAGGAGACTTACTATGTTAAGTAGGAGAGGCCTTCTTTGTGGCCAAAGTACAAGAAATCTTGACTTCTATGAACATTGTGTTTTTGGAAAACAGAAAAGAACTAGTTTCAATACAGCCATTCACATGACAAAGGGAACTTTGGATTATCTTCACTCAGATCTGTGGGGACCTTCCCAAATTCCATCAAAAGGTGGTGTTCGATATCTTCTTACCATCATCGATGACTATTTCAGGAAGGTATAGGTTTATTTTCTGAAGCATAAGAATGATGTATTTGTGATTTTTAAACAGTGAAAAACTTTGCTTGAAAAGCAAACAAGAAAACATGTCAAGCGGTTGAGAACAGATAATGGTTTAGAGTTTTGTGAAAAATGAGTTTAATAAGTTTTGCAAAAATGAAGGCATTGTAAGGCATCGTACTGTTGTTAAAACACCGTAGCAGAATGGAGTTGCAGAACGTATGAACAGAACTCTACTAGAGAGAGCAAGGTGCATGTTGTCAAATGCTGGTCCCTCAAAGGATTTTTGGGCGGAAGTAGTTAATTTGGCTTGTCACCTAGTAAATCGATCTCCATCTACAGCCATTGAATGTCAGACTCTAGAAGAGGTATGGCCTGGCAACCCTCCCAATTATTCAAATTTGAAAATATTTGGTTGTCCAGCATATGCACATGTTAATGAAGGCAAGTTTGAGCCTAGGGCCAAGAAGTGCAGATTTCTTGGTTATGCTTCAGGTGTGAAGGGATATAGATTGTGGTATCCTGATCCTAAATCACCAAAGTTCATATTTAGCAGAGATGTTACTTTTGATGAATCTGCTTTGCTTCACCCAAGAAAGGAGTCTTCAAATTCTTGTGATGCAAATAAAACACAAGGTTTAGGAAAGAAGGTGGAGTTAGAAGTTAAAAGTGCTTCCTCACCTCAGTTTACATCAGTCCAGGTGCCCATTTCTACTAAGATAGAAGAACATGTACAAGAGGAAGAAGAGGAGGAGCAGTATTCTATTGCTATAGGCAGAACAAGGAGAGAGATTAAAGCACCCCAGAGATATGGTTATGCTGATCTGGTTGCCTATGCATTGTCAGTTGCAAAGAATGTTGATGTTATAGAACCCAATACTTATTTAGAAGCTATCTCATCTATTAATTCTGCTAAGTGGTTGACAACTATGCATGAAGAGATTGGATCCTTACATAAGAACTAGACTTGGGATTTGGTAAGACCACCTAGAGGAAAGAGGATTGTTGGATGCAAATGGGTTTTCAAAAGAAAAGAAGGTACTCTAGGTGTAGAGGATGCTAGATATAAGACACGATTGATTGCAAAAGGCTACAGTTAGGTACAAGGTGTTGATTTTAATGATGTTTTCTCACCAGTTGTTAGACATAGCTCCATTCGTGTTTTTCTTGCTTTGGTTGCCATGCATAATTTGGAATTAAAACAATTAGATGTTAAAACTACTTTCTTGCATGAAGAACTTGATGAACAGGTTTATATGCACCAACCCAAGGGTTTTGTTGTTGAAGGGAAGGAAGACCATGTTTGCTTGTTTAAGAAATCTCTATACGACTTAAAACAGTCTCCTAGACAATGGTACAAAATATTTGACTCTTTTATGGTGGCCCTTGGGTATTCTAGATGCAAGTATGATAGTTGTGTTTATTTTAGGAAACTTGTAGATAATTCTTTTGTTTACTTGCTGCTTTACGTTGATGATATGCTTATTGCAGCAAGAGAAATATCTGAGATCAACAGATTAAAAACATAGTTGAGTAGTAAGTTTGAAATGAAAGATTTGGGTGTAGCAAAGAAAATTCTTGCCATGGAGATTTAGAGGGATCAAAAAGTAGGAAAACTATATTTGACACAATGGAAGTATGTTGAAAAGGTCTTAGAGCGCTTTGGCATGAAAGATGCTAAACTAGTAAGTATTCCTATTACAGCCCACTTTAGACATTCAACAAACTTGTCACCATAGATAAATGAAGAAAAAAAATATATGTCACATGTCTCCTACTCTAATGCAGTTGGGAGTATTATGTATGCCATGGTTTGCACACGACCTAACATTTCACATGTAGTTAGTATGGTGAGCAGATATATGTTATGTCCTAACAAGACTCATTGGTAGGTAGTGAAGTGGATTCTCGGATACCTGAAAGGTACATCAGATACTTGTTTGGAGTTTGGGAGGAGTAGTGACAGCATGTTGGGTTATGTTGATTCAGATTATACTGGTGACCTTGACAGGAGAAGATCACTCACAGGTTATGTATTTTCTATTGGTGGTTGTGCTATTAGTTGGAAAGCTACTTTATAGTCTACAATTGCTTTATCTACTACAGAAGCTGAGTATATGGCAGTGACCGAAGTAGTTAAAGAAGCTATTTGGTTAAGAGGTTTGTTTGGTGAACTCAGTTTGGATTCAAAGGTGACTGTTGTTTACTGTGATAGTCAGAGTGTTATTCATCTGACTATGGATCAAATGTACCATGAGAGGATGAAACACATTGATGTGAGGTACCATTTTGTTCGTGATGTTGTAGAACAAGGAGATATCATTGTGAAGATTGGTACTGCGGATAGCCTAGCTAATATGTTAACAAAGCCTCTTCCTATGGCTAAGTTCAAGCAATGTTTGGACTTGATTGGTGTTTGCAGCATTTAAGTTAGCTCATTAGGGCTTTTGTTGGATTAGGTGGAGGGAGAATTCAAGCCAAGGTGGAGATTTGTTATGTTTGTGATTTGAATTCTTTGTGGTGACCTGCTTCGTGAGTCCGCTCCGAATTAATTTGAGAAAAACCCAAAGGCAATTTCATAGTGGTTTGTGGTGGATGCGTAAGCCCGTAGCCCACCATAAATCACCATTGGGGGTGCGGTGCGGAGCCCCCGCAGTGGTATGGACCTGACCCATATTCATCTTATATGTCTGAACTGAATACGAAGAGTCATGTATTTTTCGGGGGTTTTCTCTATTGTGTACAGAAGGCATAGTCTTGAGAGATATTGTGTGTATTTTGGGGCTTAAGGTTTTCTGTGAGAGCACAACTCTATATTTCTTCTCCATTACCTACTACATAGTGGATTTCTATTCCTCCTTCACCCGTGGACGTAGGCTATAAGCCGAACCACGTAAATTTGTTTGTTCTTTCTGTTTGCTTTCTCTTTATCTCTATTTTATTTTCATTTGAGTGCCATTTCGATTCTGTTTTCTTGGGTTTTTCAGTAACATGATATGTTAGTATGACTGGTTTCAAGTTAATTAAGAATTCTTATTCAGTTGTTTTTAATATTAGAAAAGTTTCACAAAAGTGTCAACAAAGAGTATAAATAAGTAAGAGATCAAAGTAATCTTACAAAATAATTTAAATAAAGAGGTATAATTAAATAGGAGAAATCTATGCTATACCGAAAAACTAAAGAATTGAAACATTACTACCTTCCCACACCCATCCTTCAGGCTTGTGCGTGCTAAAAGTTTTCATTATGTGATTTGTATGCAAGCCTTTAGTATGTTATAAAGCAGTTTCCATGGGCCTAATTGAATAACCATAGTTTTCCTTATCAAATGGATTAAAACTAAAGCAATTAGCAAGAACCTCACTCTCAAGGAATTCTATAATTAAGTCAAATTAAAAATCATCTAAAAATAATCCACTTTAATTTGAGGAAATTAATCAAGCAACAAACATATTTTATCACTAAAGAATGGTTATGGACCTAGTTCCATAAAACAGGCCGATCCTGCTTTATTACAAGCCATGGACAACTTATAAATAGTCTCGCCAGGACTCCAATAGTTCTATCAAATGCAATATATGTAAGCTTGGATTCGAATTCCATGTATAGAAGAATATTCTTTGATTTGATATTCCTGTGAAGCAAGTGTCAATTGTAATTCTCATGAAGGTAAACTAGTCCTTGGGTAGCTCCTATAGCAATGTACTCCACCTTAAATAAAATCTGATTTACATATCAAAATTTTTTGAACTATCTCTTTGTATAAACTCATATATTAGGAGAATCAAATCTTTGGGACAGAAAAATCTCAAGCATTTCATCAGGCTCTTATGCCTAAGATAGGCTAATGTCTTGATCTATGCCTTCGAAGATTTACAGACATACCTTCAATGTTTAACTTCATTATTTTACTGAATTTACTACTACCCAGCTTAATTATGTGAACTCTACTAAAAATTACCCAATAGCATACTATACCTTTCTCATCTATTCCCATGATCAAATCTTGTTAGGTTAATAGGATTTATGACAATATAGAAAGTGAAATGGCCTAAGAGGATTTATGAAGCCAACCCCATATATATGGTTGGGATAAGGCATAGTTGTGTTGAGTTTGTAGATAATATTGTATGTTAMTTTTGAATATATAGTAAGAATTTAGTTAATGAATATAAGGTATGGACAAATTGTGTCCATGAAGTCCTACATAAGAAAATAACTAAACTTCAACCATAAAACATAGTGCATCTCAGATGGTCTTTTACAACTAAAAGGCTAGGTTACAAAAGGACTCAAGCATATCCAAATTTCTACCAGCAAGTTCGCAACCAAATTTCTAGGTGACTTGAACCTCCCCTACCCATCTTCCAACCAAGAGACAAAGAGAACTAGAGAAGGCTTCATACAGACCCCTATTCGAGAGGGGAACATAAACATAGACCTTTTAATTACCTCTTAACAGTGGACAACCAAAGTAGAAGAAAAAGAAACAAGTTATAGTTCAAATTTCCATTTTACAAAACATTTAGATTTCACCAAGAATGCCTAATTTTAGGCCATCCAGATAAAAATCTTCTTTTACTGCAATACATACCTCATGAGGTCGGTCATGCATTGATTACAAATAACAAAAAACAATTTTCTTTCTTGTCACATCAAAGTTGCAAGAATATCCACAACTTGGTTGCTCTCTCTACATGTGCCATGTGCCAAGAATCATCAATTGGTCCTGCTACACAATAAAAGAGACACAAAGAGCAAAGAATAACTCTATTGGTTGTTCATAGAAGTCACGAATTTAAACTATACTAAAATCTTGAATATGCCATTATTATGTGCTTGTGCAACGTACTTCTTGTGGTTCCATCTCATCTACAGCTCAAACTGGTAAAGTTACATGATGACTTCAAACTTCCAAATTCTAAATGGCCCTCATAAGATCTGCAAGTTTTAATAGGACTGACCATGGTATCAAGAAACACAACAAGAACATATGAATAGAAAGAAAGTGTGGAGTAAAACAATAATTGTTGCTACTATCATATGATTCCTTAACCYAATATTGGTCCAAGTTGGTTATCCAATGTCTTTGGAAGGAGAGGATATAAACCCTAAYCTTTGGAAATTTTTTCACAAAGTGGCCACTCTTAGGCTTGAACCCATGCATGTCTCATGCTTGTCAACTTGAGATTTGACTATTACAGGAAATGATGATCCCAACATGATTCTTCAGATGTACAAGAGAAAATTTGCATCTCACCTGAATGAATATTTTCGGTTTAAAGGTAAATTTGAAATGACTAATTAGGGAAAATTCTAAAACTGAGATCTAAGTAAAAGATATTTGTAAAGATATACAAATATTAGTAGTCGTCAAATTTGTACAACAAAAGAAGAAACAACAACACAAACTTTTATGTGGAGACTAGAAAAACAATGAGGATTTGGAACTTTTAAAATTATAAAGAGGGAAAATGAAAATGGGTAAAAAGAAGCTAATCAATAAAATTAGATGATACTCAAAGGTTGAATAAATTTCTAACACCATATTTGTTTGTGGAGCAATCATGCTTTTCAAGCAGTCGAAAAAGCTGAATATTCTTCTATTTTTATCTATTCAAACATTCAAACATTCCACAACACCATTCTGTTTTCTCTCCATAACACCATGAACATGGTATCATATCTTTTACTTTTCCTTGTTTTTAAACATACACTTAATATTTTACTACAAGCATTTAAGTTTATTTTTATTCATATTGTTACTTTTGTTAATTTCCAATTTCTATCTTAACTATGATACATCTAAAATTCAAATAATTAATATGAAGAAAAAGTTCTCGGAGGTTAACTACTAGTGAGACAAAAGCACTAATTTTGTATTAGATAGGAGCACAAATTATTATTACGAACAAGCATATGCAAAACTGAACTGGGTGTAAAATTAATTTCTATTTCAAATTTGCACTACAAACAAATTGAGCCTTAATTAAAAGATTAGAGGAAATAAATAAACAATAAGAATAATTGATTTCTAAAATGTAACAATTATCCTTGTGAGAGTCCAAAAATATTTCCTAGGGCCCATTTGGGAGGGCTTCAACATCATTGAGCTGCATTGACTTAACCATATATGAGAAGCTACAAAAAATAGCTTCATCGGAAAGTTTTTTTCTCAGCTAATGTAAACCTATTTGGCTTTCTGGATTTTTCACCAAACACTGCTTCATGGATTTCCATGTGAGGTCTACCTTGCAATGCTAGAAGCCACTACGTGAAAGCCCTCCCAAATGGGTGCCAAGTCCATGCAAATTGCAAATTGATCTTTAAAATTTGGGTTTGASTATAATGCTGAAAAGATATGATACCAGAAAACCTTATAACCAWTCAACCAACATCATAAAAGTGGTAATCAATCAGATGAGTTTTCAAAAAATTTCACCAAGAGTTTGATTGGTCAAATCCTTTCTAGCATCAAACAGTTTCYCTTAAAATTTACAAGCAAAAGATTGGTCTTAAATCACATAACCCATTATCCGTTTGGGCCATTAATAACTTGCCACCTATCCCGCTTTATTAGGATCCACCATTCAATAAGTCCTAGTTGAAGATTAATTGATTTCTAAAATCAGGTAAAATGTGTATATTTTTTTTGAAGGAAATATTTA